ACTCATAGTGACCCTATAGGACAGAGTAGAACTGCCTCATAAGGTTTCCAAAGCTATAAATCTTTAAGGAAGCAGACTGCCTCATCTTTCTCCTGAGGAGAGGCTAGTGGACCACTTGCCTTTTGGTTAGTCATCCATGCTTTACCCACAGTGCCACCGATCCTCCTTTCTTTGAGCACAGTACTGCACAAAGTGAGCATTGCCTGCAGTTTCACATAGCACTTGTTATTTTTCTCTCAATTATGAAAAAAAATAACACTACAGTGAAAATATCACCCTAAGTTTCTATGTCATCAGCATTTCTAAAATTTCTAATTGCCAAGGAAAAGCGTACAAACATTTTAAAGGCTCCTTAAAGCATGTTGATCTATTTAATAAACAAAAAAAAAAAACCTGTATTAATGTTTCTCCTGTCACCATCAATGTATAAAAGTGCAGTCTTTTTGAACCTTCTTAAACATACCAAAAAAAAAAACCTCACTGCCGTCAAGTCAGTCCCAACTCATAGCAACCCCTCCATGGGTTTCCGAGGCAGTATCTCTATGGAAGTAGATTGCCCAGTCTTCCTACCCAGGAGTGGCTGGTGGATTTGAACAGCCAACCTTTTAGTTAGCACTCATATGCCTTAGGCACTATGCCACCAGAGCTGCCCTCTTAAATATAGTTACATCCAAAACAGTATTCCAGTCCATGGTTTTAATTATTAATAAATATTTTGAATATATGAATATATGAATTTGAATGTTTTTTATTTTTGGCAATTTTTTATTTATAATCATTGATATTTACTTATATATAGGTTTTTAGTGACTTAACTGATTTCTGTGAACTTTTCACACCTTAATAGCTTTGTCACTTTATTTTTCTTATGGTGAATACTATAAGATGTTTGGAGGCCTCTTAATTTTAAATAGTTTTATGATCAAATTTTAATGGGTTTTATATTGTGATTTCTCCTATGGCTACTGACCTCAGAGAGATTATCTTTTCATTTTTTAATGAATTAATATTTTCATTTTAATTCTGATTCAGCACAAGTTATACATTTTTTCAGCTTTTGAAATGACCATCACCACTAAGTGGTGTGATTGGGAATGCCTGTTATTTAGGGGAAAGGCTTGCTGGCAAAAGAAGTCTAGTTAGAGATAAGATTCTATATTTAGAGATCCTTGGTGAAAAAAAAAATTGCATTGCGGACACTGAAAGGTGCAAAAATCAACATTTATATAGAAGTTTTTAAGTAAGTCCACAGTACTAACATGCTAAGATCCACTGGGTTTCTCTTCATTTACAGGCAAACAGCACCTTCTGCCTTTCTGGAAAGCAAATTTAGCTCTAATATTCTGCTCCTATGTTAGCTGCTCTATGGCCTCCATCCCATACGTTTGTCCACCAGATCCCTGAAGACTTTGCTGTAACTGTTATATTCTCATTTTAGTTTATTTTTTTCATATTTTTCAAATAATTCACAATGCATATGCATCTCATGCACAAACTTAATTTTTATGTATATATGTGCATATAATTTCCAATTAAGCCATCATATTCATAATTTCTGGATTAAAAATATTGAACCCCTAGAAGAATCTGATTTGCATTCTTCAAAGATAAATTTGAAAAAGAAGAAATTAAATATGAAATTCCTTTAACAGAATGTAAAACATGTTTGAAATCTATGTAAAGTATAACAGTTTGGTTTAAAATATATGTACAGACTGGTCAAAAGAATTGAAGAGATAGGCCATCAATGAACTTGCTTAGTTTGTAATAAAGGTGACATAAAAAAATCAATGAGGAGAAAAAATATTGTTTAATAAATAGTGAGAAGAAATTGATGTAAAGTGTGAGGAACAAAGTCAAATACATCAAAGAACACCACAAAACTGTGTGCAGAATAATTCAAGATGTCCCTATAAAACATAGCCATGAAAATTCAATAATACAATCCAGGTGCTTGTTTATCTAATTTCAGGATCAGAGAACTACAACATAAAACCAAAAATCAATATAATTTTTCATACATTGATTGGTGTCAAAGATCACAAGACAGAATTTGAAAAGTAATAATCACATTGATGTATACCTTTATTTATTAAGTATACATTTAAATTCTTTAATTATGTTCAAATTTTCACAAAATCCTTCCCTAAGGATTTCTAGTTAAGAAAATGAAATAGGAAATAAATTTAAATGGGATTATTGAACATTGACAAAGTTACATTGAAATGATTACTTTCAAATGTTACTAGT